TCTCCCTTGATGGAGAAGAGACAGTCTGTTTTCCCCAACGACTCGCGTGCACAGCCAGGCTTGGGGCTCAGTCCACCATGCACAGCACTTCAGCATAGACATGACCGAGGTTGTAAACCAGCTACAGCTGCGCCAGTGCTTCTGAAGACAGGCTGCTACCGTTGCCCAGCGTGACTGGTGTACGTATTGCTTGGCTACGTCCCCGTCGTGCAGCAGTCACAACCTGCTGTGCAGAGATGGCCTAAGAAATGGCGTACTGAGAGTACAAATACCTGTAAGTGTGATCAAAAGACCTTTTCAAAAACTTAATGGCCAGTTTTGGTGACCGCTTTTCATAGATCTGTCTAAAACAATTTTTATGCTATATTTCTTAAAAATAACCCCAAAAAACAAAAATCAAAAACCAGATCCACCATGCACTACTGTCTTTCCTCTGTACTTTGTCTCACTTTCCATGGACATGAAATTAGGGAAGAAATCTAGGCCCTATTGCACATGGCTTAATAAATCTTAATAGATAATATTGGTCAAGAAAAATCTTAACATGCTACATCTTTAGTTGAAGCAATTTAGCAAGTCAGAACCTGGGATTCTTAAATCTTTTTCCTTTAAACGTAATTAAACATAACCAATTTTGCTAGTGTTAACATAATTTTTATAGACTCCTGTAAGGCACTGGTTTCTTTGCCAGCAGTATGTTAGACAAAAGACTGCACTGTGCTTGATGTAAGGTACCTGACGAGTGTAAGAAAGGACTGCCCTAGATAAACTACATGATTTCTTTCTGTGCTCTGTCCTTTATACAGGCATGCTTGTCTCGTGAACCAAACTAACTGTACTCTTATACAGTTAATAATGGAGATTACTCTGTGCAATTAGCAGGTAAACAAAATGAGTCTCTTCCTTCACTGTCTTGAACTATATACAGCTACCAATGTATATTCAAACTTTCAAATGATATCACTGGGGTAAGTAGAAAATTTTGGTGCATTACCATTTTACAGGAGCAGAAACAAATAGATGACAGTTTCTGGTGAATTTATTTTTGTCCTGCTGGGGAACAATAAACTAGCTAGAATGCACTCAGAAACACAGACCTCTTCACATAGAGAGGGGATTTCTGCCTGCCGCATTCTGTATTAAGATACCAATTTAGGCTGCAGGTACCTCCATACCACTTTCTGCTCTGCCTCTTTCAGAGCAGCATTTTTAATCCAAAGAGTCATCGCTAAGGCAGAGCGTGACAACTTTAGGTCGGGCCTGTCATATCCGGTGCCAACGTCTTGATTGTCTTACATGTACAGTCTCCATCCTTCACTGACCCGATATCTTCCCAGCAAGAGTTTTTTTGGAAACAGCAAAATAGGAAAAAACTTTGAGAAAAGAGAATCTCGGTGGGAATAGTCCAGCTAGCTCAATTTCACTGGCACCTTAAACAAGTGTAAATGTCAGCATGAGGGTTAAGTTAGTGGAAAATCAACCTATATGTGCTCATAGTCACACTGGGACAAGTCAGGGATAGGGTCTGAAAAACTGATTTAACAGGAATATAATCCTGAGGACAAGATGGTCCAATGCATTTACATTTGATATAACTTTAAATAAAGGGAATTCCTAAAGGAAACATCTTTTATCACACAAACAGTGAGCCACTGCCAACATATCTGGCAAGGCTGAGGATCCAGCTCCCCAGACCAGGCATCAGAATAGCATGAATAATGCCAGGAGGCAGTGACGGGCCTGGCAGTACTGCTGCTGTCACTGCCCTATTAGCCTGGATATCCATGAGCTTTACAGAAACTGTCAATGGATGTTTTTAAACAGTCAGTGCAGAAAGCATCACTATTTTACCATATAATCGTTGAAGCTAATCTCTCTGTGACGAGGCCAGTATTTACACTACTTCCCTTGTAATCCCCCCGGACGCCCATACGGAAAGAGGCTCTGAAGCTTAATGTTACCAATGCTGAAAGTGAAACTTTTATGCAAACTGATAAAAGTTCTTTGTTTGACTTATCAGTAAACCAAAATAGTCTGGTAGATTGCCTTGAAGTTAAAAGAAAAAAAAACATACTCTGTCAAATCCTGTATATTCCTTTTTATGTATTTTGTCATTTCCCCTCTATTAACTTTGTCCTAAGGTTGAAAAGAAGAGTGCGCTCTAACTTCCATTTACATACTGTACTTTCACTTAGACTTTTTTGTTGCAGCCTGTTAAATTTATTGACTATAAGCCCCTTGAGCTATTGAAAAGTATGCAGCTTACACTGTATATCTTTTGAAAGACGCTACTGGTAGCCTGTTTTAATGTGTTTACTCTCTCCAGATACAATTTGTCTTACATATTCATTGTTTTTTTTTTTTTTAAAGTGCCAGGACCAGTTTCTTCATTGTCGCTATTGTTTGGAACTCTTGCACAGATATTAAGGCTCAGTAATTTTTCAGTGCTGCTCAAGGGATCTGTGTGTCAAATGAAATAACGAGTGGGAATTTGGGCACTGAAAACCCTTAAGCAGCTGGCTTTGGAAATCTCAACAATATAATAATGGAAAATAATTTGAGATGGCGTGAAAGACACATTGAGATGTCTAGTATATTTTATATGTACAAATGGAGCTGGCCAGAAAGTAATACTTTCCATTCATTGACAATTACGTATCATTTTAATTTCAAGACTTCATGCAGCCTGAAAGTCAGAGAAAATTTCATTTGCGAAACACCAGTACACGGAGTTGGGAAAAGAAAATATGTTCCCCTACGTATTGCAGCTACTACTTCTAGTGGTGGAGTTGACTAGAATATTGGTTTCATTAGGCAGGAACTTGGGATGGAAAAGATCTGTTTTCAGATTATAGTTGGGGCTTTCAGGTGCTCAGTTTCACAGGAGTCTGAAAGCCTTGAGAGTGGTGGTTGCTTCCGGTTGCAGGCTCCGGGAACTCACAGCCAGAGTCTCTCTCTCAGAGCTCAACTGTGAGGTCTGTCCAGAGTAATAGGAATGTGAAATTGTATATCCTGTGATTCTGACTCTCTTTTCCTTTCCCATGCCCTGATGTAGAGTTGTGCTTCAGCATCTAAATATCTTCCGTTCTGTAGATTTAAGAGTACAGAATGTTGTGAACTCTGAATCTCATCCATGTACTTCTGCTGCTATAGATGTCCAACCTGGTTAGCTCAAAAGTTATCCAGAATATATATCTACATCAGTAGCCAACATGTCAGTCTGTTGTGTATCCATGACAGAGCTTGGGCTTTTATTCAGATCCTCTGCATCCTGCTCCAGGTGCAATCACTAGACCATGGTGCTGTGATAGAAATCTACAGTGGGATATTTTCATCTCTAGAAAATACATATCGAAAGTCAAACTTCTCTCTCTCTCTCTGGGAAAGCCATTACAAGCTTGAAACCCTGGGAATGAACTTTGCCTTTGGTGAGGCATGGGTGAAAAGTCCATGCACTGCAGTCCATGTCCCGTGTTTCATGGTGTCAGACTTGCAGTGACGCTGTTCAGACAGCTCTCCTGGGTGCTAATACCTTCAGAATCTGTTTTTGCTAGGAACGTGTGTGGCCCCAAAAAGTACAGAAAAAGGAAGATACTTCAATCTTTGTTTCATATGACAAACGCTACTAATTGTATTTTGACTTTCAGGGAAAAAATACGAGTTACTGTTTCCCTAGCCTGCACTCACTGGCCCCTAGCCTCAGTATGGGGGAGATCTCTCCTTATATGTAAGGCAGGAGAACCTAACACATTTCTATGCCATTGCTTCACATACCTATCACCTTAACACTTTCATAGGCAGAGGAGTTGAAACTGTTAAAGAAATACAGGGAGGGGTGGGGGGGATATTTTTTGGCTTAAAGTGTACATGTCAAATAAATGTGATTATCAGCTGCTGCATCTTTATAGCCCCCATCATCATAATTAGCTTAAGTGAAGTTGTACTTAGTTTGCATATAGCTTCAATTTGCTGCAAAGTAAATCACCAAATAAATCAATAATTTACAGCCTAGCTACAGATTTTTACAAAACAAAAAAACACGTTATGCCTGGGAATTTCTGAATGCAGCACAACTCCTCGTCTAGCTTCTCTGAGCTAGTTGTGACAATTACCAATACCAGAAATTTTCATTCAAGCAAGCAGGAAACATGTAAAACCAAACAAATAATGACACCAAATGGAGCTTTGATTAGGAGTCTGTGAATAATGATCCTTTTCACATATTAAGTAGGATGTTTAACATGTTTTACATTTACAAGGAATCAAGCAAGTTCCACTGATTAGATTTTTGCTATTGAGAAAAACACACTTTATTAAAGAGGGAGCTTGTCAGGGCTTGGTGCCAATCGGCGTCAACTATTCGTATTGCAAACGCATCTAACGCCCTCATTCTGAGAAATGCAAGAGGGAACATGTTTCATGTTTTCCTCTTTCCTACTCTGTTCTTCTATAAATTCCTAAAAGGCTAGTGCTAGTTCTCCCTTGGGTCCTACACTAAGTGAATTTCTTTAAATTAGAAAAAGTGAACCTTTTTCATGGCATGTGTAAATCGTAGGTTTACATTGTCAAAAATTGCTGTTAGGTTGGGTGCTTCTGTACAATAACTGTTACTGTGAAGACCTTTTTAATTGTCTACACTTCTCAACTAGTGGTAGGTAATATTCAGTCCATTCCAAAGGTGACAAATTAATAGCAATAAATCCATTTTGTATATGTTTAATTAGCTTGCAGATTTTTTTGCCAGCAGTGTAACTTGGGCTAAAACCAGAAAAGAAAATTTGTTTTTGTTTTTGTTTTTTTTAAATAATGAGAACATCCGCAAGTGAATTATTCAGAATGAGTTTGGGAGATTTTTTTTAATCCTAGTATCAGAAAAGTATAAAACTCCCTTATGTTTCACAGCATGAACCAATTTTTTTATGATGAATATTGGAAAGGCAGTTGAATTGTAGCCATTTAATTTCATATTTATCAAGCATGTTTTGCATCTTCCTTTACAGTGTCTCTGGTTCTGGCTAATGTCGGAGTTTGGTTCCTAGATGAGATGAACCGCTAACTGGGTAAGTCCTTTCCTATGTCAAAAGGGTATTAAAATATCTTCTGCACGTTACTGACTGGTATCCTTTCTATAACTCTGAAAGTATTTATTGCAAGGAACTACTTAGCATATATCTGGAGCACTAGTACTTTTATCTTGATGTCACATATGGTATTCCAGTAGTTACTGTGCTTTTAGCATATAATTATTTTACAGTGTATCAGTGTAAAAATGTATTGGTATGTCTGCATATGCAACTGTAAAAATAAATAATAGGTATGCTTTAAAATAAGAGATACTTGTTGAATTAATTGTTTAATACATTAAAATGCTAACATGCAGAAAAACTGTAGATGCATACAGCTTTCCTAAGTCTAAAGTTGGGATATAGCCGTATATCAGAAGCTGAAATTTCTATTCTTAGATTAAAATTGCAGTTTATTTTTATAGCTAGAGACGTTCATATTTAATTAAATAAAAAGGCTTTATTGTTTCTCTACACTTCAGGAAATAAATGACTATTGTGTTTGGTTTGGAATGAATATGATATCAAATCTTTTGTTTGCATCACTGTGCAATGTGCCATTTTCTCAAATGAAGGCTCAGTGTATTTGCAGAGCACACCGCAGAAGTATGTATGATTACCTCCCTGTTTCTTTGTGTCAGACGGAGATGGAGGTGAATTAGAACGCATCAGCAGGAGGGAGTTTTGCTTTCTTCCCAGACAAACCATCAAAGAATCCCACAGCACAGTTTAAACTATTCAGACTGGAAATAGACTGAATTTTGTGTGCCTGATTCCAGTAAATAATTGTATATTACTTATAGTGAGATTCTTTCAGAGAAGATGCTGGAAACTGTAAACATCCATGTAGAAGATAATACTCAGCAACCAATCTCTGGCCTTTCATACACTAGAAAGCTTTCTTGAATTGGACTGTGAGAAAATAGCTGTGTCGACAAAAGCCTAGGGAGAGATACAATTATACAAGCAAAAGAATCTATTTGCCGATACAATTTTGTTCTGTTTAGAGAACTATAATAAGATGCGTTTGCCAGTACAGCGCCTTTCCTTTGTGGTGTGTGCCCATGCAGCTCTACCTGTAGACAAAACATTTTAAGTACAGGCGAGGCTGAAGAAGGCTCATTAATTATATTGCATGTCTTGGAGTATCAAAGTTTGTGATATTACTGATACTAAAAGATTTAGCTCCCAATCCTGCAAGATTTCATATTCATATTGAGTATGTGACACTACGCCACATCACTGATTTCAGCTAGATTATATATAGTGTAAAGCTAATGGGAGGAACAGCAAGCTTGAAAGTTGCGTGTCGAACAAGCTGCACTGAACGCTAAGTGAAATCAGATTTACTGTATGTGCAGCATTCAGCTTCATAACTGCTGTGTGCCAGCCCCTTATTAACTGGGGCCTGGGATCACCCCCGGGAGGGCAAGTGGAAAGGGAATTTCCTGCCCTGCAAGTGAGCAGGAAATTGAGCAGGCAGTCGTTCTTGATTTCCATTGAAAGTTATGGTCAACTTGATGCCTTCCAGCATTTTATGCCAGGAATTTGTTAGCTGGAAAAATCCTAAGCAGCTCTAACTAAAATGTGATCACTTAACACTTCCCGAGGCACTGTTTTCAACTGTAGAGGTATTATCCAGCCTACAGTAATAGTCACTGTTGTCAGTCACAGCTCAGTGAAAATTTCAGAATTTCCAGTGGAAATTCCAGTTTAGACAAAACTTGCAAAAATGCCAGAAAGCATTCCTCCCCTTTATCATGGAATTTAAGCAGCAGGGGAGAGAGGGATAGAGATGTGAAAGTCAGCAAGAGCTCAGTGGTTAGGGCTGCTTTTCTAGAAAGCCGGGCATTCCGGTTCAAGTCCTTAGTCTGACTTGAATAGAGCAAGGATTTGGACCTCGAGCTCCTGCATCCTGGTCACGTTCCTACCTGCTTGGCTGTTGGTTATTCTAGGACTGGTAATAGCACATTCTCCATTTTTTTGTGAGAGTTATTGATAACTTCCTGATGCAGAACAGGATTATTTTGAATGTTTGAAAGCTATTGCCTGCAGGAAAGTGTGCTATCTCCCAGTGGCAACTTCATTCATGTGTTTTATTAGAAATCTGTGTATTCTCTGTGTCATTTCTGTACTTGGATATCTATTTTGGTCCATCAGGGTGATTATTTCTGTTTGACATATTTCAGTGGAATAAGCTGAATTATGCAGCAGGCAGGTTTTGTATTTCAGGTCACTCTCACGAGGAAGGTAATCACCACCGTGTTTATAATGCAGGAAGGAGTGGTCACTCCTCTGAGCTGCTTCTGTGGCTGGTGGTATTTGGTGGTGTTTGGTGAAGCAAATGTGCTGCAAATTACAGTGTGTGGTTATAGATCAATTTATGCTCCTGCCTGCTGCCAACAACGTGCTGTGAACAAATGGAGATAACTTGGTAAACATGCACTCTTGTAACAGAAAATAACTGAGTGTCGTTGAAAGGAATAATTAATTAATGTTTGTAAAACACTTAGAAACGGAAAAGCACCTTATTAATGCTAAGTGTTCGGGGGCCTAGGTTTCTCATCGTAAAGTCTCCGTCTTTGTCTCCGTCTTTTAACTGAACAAAGCGTAAAGAGTATAAAGCCCTTGTATCTAATGTCCCCAGTCAGGCACTTTTGTGCCTGGCAGTCATTAAGATGCAGTAAGTAAACAAGGAGAAATGTAATGCTACACTATAGCTGGCTTGAATCAGCTCATTTCCTCTGATGCCAATAGAATCAAGCTGATTTACGCTAGCTGAAGATCAAGAATCCAGAACACGATTCCTCTTCTTGCCCATCTGACTCAAACGGTCCAAGCTAGCAAGTGGTTTATTCACTGCAGCTCCTACCTTTCTGAAACCTTCCTTGCAAAGAACCTTGGCTCCCTGAAGAAAAAAGTCCTCACGATCCTCATGTCCCTGACTTAAAATTGGATTTACCAGGGAAGCTAAAGGAGCAATAAGCCACCCAGATTAGAACTGCCTAGGGTGACACGAGTGATCCAGATGATGTGAGACAGTCACAAAACCCCAGCCAGTCCCCCATTCGCAGTATCGCTGTGGGTGGGATTGTACCTTTCTATATGATAATCTAAAGGCTAGTCTATTCCTCCAGGATGTTTGAAGCCCAAGGTCAGTATTCTTAGCTGCTTAAAAAGATTTTAATCCATGTCTTCCTCTCTCAAAGGAGTATCTAAATCTTGGATGTCACGGGAGCAGGAGAAGGGGAGGAAAGTGGAGACAGCCTTGTTGCAAAGAGGCCACTGTGCAGAAAAGAAATCAAGACTAATTGGCCAGAGGGCACAAGACTAAGCATCGCACTGGCCTATCCATCAGAGCTTGCACTTTTGGGATTATCACATGGTTTTCCCAGACAAGCCCCCTTTTTCCATTTTTATGAATGTCCAGCACCTCAGCAGCAGTAGCTCCCACTGAGCTGCCAGATTAATGGAAATCCAGACATGCCCACTTCAATTGTACAGTACATGCTCAGCAGGCTCAAATATACTGCACCTGTTACTCACTGGCGGTAGTGCTGGGGAGAGTGAATTGAGTCTTTGATCCCAGAACCGCTTCTGTAAATAGCTTTGGAATAAAATATACTAATTATTCTTTAGATGACTATGGAATTTTAAAGAGAAACAGAGAGGCATATGTGCATTTTAAGCACTTCCTGAGTAAAACAACAGTTTAGCAGGGGGAGTAAAGGACTCAGGATTGCACATTTGGATTTAGGTATGTAACCATATTTTAGTTGCCCTGTATTTTCTGGATCTGGTCCATGCCTTTCTGAACCGTCTTTTAGGTGTTTCTTCTCACAGAAGATCAGTGGAGTGTACTTTTTTCTGCTGGATTAATTGGCAGAGTTAGAAAGGTTACCTGCCAAGCAAATCCAATTATTCAGCCCTTCCTCGTCTTGAGTAAGCGCCATGGTTGATAAAGGGCCACAGTTAGAGAGAATAAAAATAAGCCATCAGGACCACAGATATTGTAGGTTTTCAATCTCTGTACCAGCCTCAGGCAGAGTATATTTGACTCACTTCAGTTGTAGTGCTGAAACACAGTGTGCCCGAATACCTCTTCATGACATTTCTGAAACCTAAGTGTTACTAAGATTGTTTAATGGTTATGTTTGTAAATAGTCATCTGTTAGAAATCCATTTCTTGAATTTGAGAGAGGCCAGAACTCTCTCATATCCTCTTTGCTCCTAACTTTGTTCGAGTTCGCAGTGGGGAGCTTTGTGCAAAATCTGTAAAGAACCAAAATCATGCTTCTGTGAAAGAACAGCTCTATTAAAAAAAAAAAAAAGGTTATGCTGTAATTGGCAAAAATCATAATAAATGGTCTTTTCTTAGCTTCATCAAAAGCACAGACTTTGGAGCACTCAAGAATCTTTTCGGCGGCTGGGGTAAGAAACTGCCTCTGAGGAGTCAAGGCAGCACGCCGTGGAGCTACTTGCTTGAGAAATGACCTGGCAGTACTCCCTCATAGACCCTGCTGCACTTGAAGATCCCGTATACCCTGATAGACCTTGTCCAGTTCATCAGAACTCATCAAATCAGTCGGAGGCGGACTGAGCTTATGAAAGGAAGGGATCTATTTTGCTCTGGTTACTTTCTACTCCATAGCTATCTGAATGCGTACTGTGTTTAAATTGTGCTTGCCTCCTACCCAACAGAATAATAATCTTCCCTAATCCAATTTGTAAGTAAATGCGAACATTTTCATACCCAAGTGTAATCTTTTATCCTCTCAAATGCACATATACTGCAAATTCAGATACACACATGCACACACATATATACATTTTATCATATTAGCTTTTCAGACTTTGATGTGTTCTCCTGAAAAATATCTAAGATTTATATAGCTCCTAGTAACCTATCCCATATATCTGTAGCATATATCCGCAGAAAAAAAAGTCTGTGTAAAGTGCTTAGTTAGCTACCCTGTGTTTGTTGTCAGCAAAATTAA